CTGAGAATAACCAAATATACCAAAAGATTGTGTGATCAAATCAAAACAAGACTTTTTTTTTTTTAAAGAGAACTGAAAAGGCAGAGTTATTGAAATACCTGTAAGGGGGTAGGAGGAGAGACAGGAGATACCATCTGCACCCAACACAGCAAATCTTCATTGTAAAACTATCTGCATTGACACTAATATGACTTAGGTAAATTTAAATGTTATTCTCACCCCAAAATATCTGACTTTATTAATGTTCAAAATTTTGAAACCAATGGGCCTGCTATTAGGTAGTAATATGCATCTTTGAACTCTCACCTTAGATGAAAGTATGTTGGCCTATCAATCAGCTTTAACCTCTCCCAAACACATCCAGCCATACCACATGTTAAAACTCCCCTCATATAGTGGGGAAAAAAAAAAAAGCAAACAAACAAACAAAAAAAAACAAACTAAAACACCTCTCGCAAAGCACTTTATTGTCTCAACCATTGATCATTTACTAGCTAAGTTTTCCTGAATTCTAACTTAGCACTTCCTGAGGTCCATTTTGGTATTCTATATTTTCTATACAAGGGCAATCAGAACTGGAGAAAAAGCAGAACTACAATGAATCTTTATTTCTCGGGATATACAGTATAAGATTCAGATCATTCAACTTATCTCACCAAATGAGGTTGTCACTAAACCTAATGAGAAACAGGCTGACACACACACACACAGGGACATTTGTCCTTAACTAACCACTGGATCACAACCTCACAAGCTGTATGTCCTTCATGGTTATTATTTATTGGGTCCTTGTGATAAGCCAGGCAGTGCCCTTAGTATTTTACAAATGTTACATAATTGGTCCTCAGGGTTACCCTTTGTGATGGCTATTTTCTCCACTGTGCAAATCAGGAATTGAAATCCACTGAGCTTACTGGTTTGCTTGAAGGCCACACAGCTGATAAGTAGCAGAAGGATATCCTGAATATGGTTTTTTCTGATTTGGAAGCCCACATTTTTTCTACCACTGAAGACAGACTCACAGTCTACCAATATGAACAAATGAGAATCTGACATTTTGTTAAATCTCTACAAGGAAGCTCACAACCTGTCTTGGTCAACTTTCAATTGCCTAATATATACTTAATAATGTATAAATCTCTTTGCCCAAATAATGGCATTATAGTCTTTAATATATGAAAGGAATCTGGTGTCGTAGAAAGATTAAGAAACTTTTTCAAGGCCACACAGTAAGAGAGCTCTGATTCTTTCTCCTCTATTTAATAAATACACTAACTAGCAGATGAAGTGCCAATTATTCTGTATTTTGTATCTGGGCATTGATTTGTGTAAAGAGCTCCTGGTCAGACTAAAAAGTTTTATTTTCTTCTAACACCCCCAAATGAATCGATTGCCCAGTAATATTTTACATTTGTTTCCAGACTTAGCTATGTAAAACAACAACCTAAGATTCTGGGGAAGGAGCCAGCCATATGTATTTTTAAATAAGTTCCAAAATGAAATTTAAGAACCATTGATCTTAGCTATGTTTTGCTTTCTAACAAACTATTCCAAAATATGGGAGCTTAACACCATAACCATTTATTTTCTCATAGTTTTGTGTATGAGTGGCTTACAGGGTCTCTGGCTTAGGGTCTATCTCAAGGCTGCAATCAAGGCAGCAATGGAGCAGTAATCATTGTCTAATGGCTATCTTTTTCCAAGTTCTCTCACAAAGCTATTAGCAGGATTCAATTCCACAAAGGTTGATGAACGAAGGGACTCAGTTTCTTGCTGACAGTTGGCCAGAGGCCTCCCTCAGTCTCTTTCCACATGAGCCTCTCCATGGGGCAGCTCACTTCTGGCTTCCCTCAGAAGTGAAAGAGCAATGACAGAGAGCATGCTAGATGTCTCATAAATGACATCGCTCTTTTTTTTTTTTTTTAAGATTTGCTTTCATTTATTTATGCATATAAGAACTGGGGTGTAGTCCAGAGGTGGGTGGGTGAGAGGCTTCACCAGAGATAGAGTGGAGAGCAGAACAGGCAGATCTACTGAAATGCACTGCTAAGGGGAGCAATGGGGAGACAGGAGAGGTCTGCTGCGCCATGTGGGTAGCTCCCTGACTAGGGATCGAAGTCATGCTCCAGTGGCTGGCTATCATTTTATAGTGCTGAGACTTTAACCACTGTGCTACCAGGGAGGCCCCATCTCATCACTCTTGCTGTATACTATTCATCAGTAGGAAGTCACTAGACCCAACCCACCCTCAAGGTATTCAACACCAAGACTGAGTATCTGCAGGCAGGGGTCATTGGGGGCTAGCTTAGAAGCATACTATCACAGAGATATAAGCCAAGTATTAAAAAACAAAATGGGAGCACATTTCCTAGTTCTGTAAGCTAAGAAAAGCTAGATTCAGTGACACCACAGTAGCAACAAGCACATCTCATCTTGAGTTCTAGAGCAGGAAAAATACAAGCGTGAGTAGATAATCAGAAAACAAAAGGGACATAGGGAGTAGCATAAAAGAGAGTTCCATGGCCAAAGCAGAGCCATTTGAAAAACATAATATAAAATATAAAACCAAGTATAAAATAAATATACATGAGTCTTTATTAATAAATATTTGGATATAAATAAACAGGAGAAAGGGACAAATCTTTACAGAATGCCAAATAATTTATGTAGATATTCCACTTCAGGAGTGGAAGCCTAATCTTCAACTCTCCTTATGTGTGGCAGGATTTAGTGACTTGCTTCTGAAGAAGAGAATATGGGGAAAGGTGTGGATGGGGGAGTGGGGGTAATACAACTTTATAGTGGAGAAATTGCAAACACTACCATGGTCAGGTGATCAAGGTTAACATCAGCAGCAATAATTCATGCTAATAACCCACGTACTCCTGATATGATGTGATGACAAAGGCATCTCACTGTGTGCTATTTTCCTCCAAACCTTATAACCCCAATCTAATCATAAGAAAAACATCAGACAAATTCAAATCAAGTGCCATTTTATAAGATAGTTGACAAGTCTCCTCAAAGCTGTCATATACCAGAGGAGTCCAAAGAGACATGACTAAATACAATGTGGCATTTTGGATGGATCTGAAACAGAAAAAAGACAGTAAAACCTGCATAAAGTCTGAAGTTTGGTAAATAGTAATGTTGGTGCCTTAGTTTTATAAATGTTTCATGGTAATGGAAAATGTCTGCATTAGGGGAAACTGGGTCAAGTACAGATATAACTTTTTATACTATCTTTGCAATTTTTCTTTAAAACTATAAAACTATTCTAAAATAAAATTTACTTAAAAAGTAAAGCACCCTGTTTATAATTAAAAAAATTAAAGGGAAGATTCTCCTTTACATTAGCTTTGTACTCAATACATTTAAACTCCAGCCACATCTAGCACCAGGAGCAATGAGGACATGTTCATAGGCCCTCTGTGGAATGCTAGGAATATTCCTGGAAGCCAGTTTGATACCTGGGAAGTCAGCAATAACATCACAGAAGTGATCCAAGTATATCAACTCAATTACTTTCCCTCATCCAGATCCCAAAAATGTGCAGCGTCATACCAGGGCACCTTAACAGGAAGAGTGATATAAAAGCAGGAAAGTTGGAAAGGGAAAAAGGCAGTTTAAGCATGCTGTTTGAGGGATGCCTTAAGACATCTTCCTTTTAAGGAGTAGAAAACAACACTGCCGTATGAACTCAGTGCTGGGGTCCTTCTTTGGCTCTTGGAAAGAGCTAGTTCAAGTCATGAGGGTTGGCTAAGTCTCATTAGCTTTTCAGTAAATTTATTCTGGACAAATTTCACAAGAAACAAGTGAACTTTGCCAGAAATGCCACCATCCTTTGCCCCCACCCCTTTAGCTCAGAAACAGCTCTTTCATCGAGCTCAGGCAAAGCACTCACTCCTCCCAGAGATGTTTCCTGAGCTCAACTTTAGTGTAGGCAAGGCTTCTAGGCTTCCTCAACACAACTGTAATGTTTATTTGTATACATTAAATTTGTGTTTTTGTCTCCCTGATAGACTGGCTGAGGGTGTGGCACAAGGCTTTAAAATATCCTGTACTGTCATGAAGGGTTCTCAACAATCTCTTGTTCAGTAAATGAAATAAAGCTTTTGCTGGAGGAGACAAGTGGTCACCAGCAGGACTTGGGCACCAAGTAAGTACATCAGAGCTCAGGTGCCCAGTGACCTTTGGGATCAATAACTAAAAGCAATGTGGGAGTATAAGAGACAGCCAATCAGTAAAGGCCTCTTGAAAAGTCATACAGAAATACTGACAGGTAGGCTTCTTACCCTACATATATTTTATAAGGCCTACATTTGTCACCATGCTGAATATGTTAATTATAAATCTAATGATTACATTTCCATAGTATAATTGTTGGAAATCGAGAGTGTCCTAGAATATTCAGTATTTCAAAGCACGTGTCCAAATGAATCAGACTAGAGATACTGGGAGTATGTAAAATCTTCATTGGTCAGGCACTCTGTATAATCCCGAACCCTCACTCTACCCAAACACAAACACACCCCGGATATGAGGTCTGCTGAGGCAGATCTGCCCTGTGAACAACAGGAGATAAAAGGACTTGCATATTTAACAAGCGCTTAAGACTCAACAGCTTCTTTCAAGTCTCTCTCTCTCTCTCACACACACACACACACACACACACACACACACACACACACACACACACACACAGAGCTAACGTGGGGGGGCTGGGGGAACGGAGAGAGAAAGAGAAAGGGAGAGGGAAGGAGCGAGCGAGAGCGCACGAGGTGGCGAGAAGAGTACTTCCTAGGGCAGCGTAGTCCCCACACAAAGCGAGGTCCACGCGAAACCTCATGGACAGTACTAGCCGAGCTCGCGCATGCGCGCATTAGTAGCAAAAATGCGGCTCCCGACCCGCGAGATCATCGCGTAGCTTTCCGCTTGGGCGTGTCAGTGCCCGCCTCCCAGCCTGAGGAAGCAGCTGATTGGCCCGTCTGACTGGGCTCGTGGCGGAGATTGGGTGATTGGCAGCTACGCGCCGGGAGAGCCAAGCTGGAAGCGCAGAGTGCGTGAAGAAAGCGCCTGCTGCCCGGCGGCCGAGGTAAGTGGCGCTGGGGGCTTGGGGAAGCGGCGGGCGTGGGGTCGGGGAGGCGACGCCGGGGTCACGGCGGCGGGAGAGCCCTAACAGTCGTGGGGCCGGAGCAGAAGGAGCCCGGCTCGGGCTGCGGGGAGGCGGGCAGGCTCGTGGCCGGTTGGGTGTTTGCGTCTCGGCCGGAGGGAGGAGGCGAAGGCGTCCTCGCGTCGCCGGGCGGCTGAGGGCCCCGGGGCGGCTGGGTCCGGCGGGGCGTGAGGAAGTCGGCGGACGCGCGCGCCGAGGCCCGGGGCTCCCCCACCCACCCGACTGCCCCAAACCTGCCCCGCTCCGGGTCGGTCCATTGCGCGGAGCCCGCAGTTAGCGCGCGGGCCGCCAGGCGGCGGTCCTGGGAAGTCAGCCCTCCGCGGCCGTTCCCTTGGGTGTCGCCCCTTTTCCCGGGACGAGGTGGGCGGAACCCGCCGGTGCACCTCGGGGCCGGGCCTCGGGGTTTCTGGGGGGAGGGGAGGGGAGGAGCATGTTTACTGGTCACCTGAGAGGTTGAACCAGCTTCACCTGGCGGGTGCTGGCCTTTCTTCACTTCCCAGTACTTTCCAGTGTGTCTTCCTGACCAGGACCAGCGTTTACATAAAGCTTTAGGGAAAAGATAGACCTTTGGACTTGGGGAAAAAAAAAAAAAAAGGGAAGGGAATCTTGGAGCTACACAGAGGTCGGAAGGGTAGTATAAGGAATTGCGTGTATCCATCACCCGTTTTCAACAATTTGCAGCGCATGGCCAGCCTTGTTGCCCCCTTCCCCGTTATTTTGAAGTATTGAGAAATCCCAGAAATACATTTAATCTCTTATATATTTCTTTGACGTTGTGGTGATGAATGGTCACACTTTGCCAGTCATTTCTCCCTAGAAGGGTTGAGTAAAATTACTAACATTTTAATGTATAGACGGTGCTAATTGAGTTTGCCTGCAAGAAAGTACGCAATTCACCTCCTTTGCAGTTTCACTATCCTGTGTTGAGGCTTTAAACATCATTGCAAACAGGTACACAATATTCTAGTCTTGGCAATAGCGTTACTGCTTTTGAGAAGTAGTAATAGTACTGATAATTTCTGTATAAAACACTGAAATTGTTTTCACCCTTCATTTAGTTTTTACAACATTCTGCGAATTAGGTAGTCCATTTTGCAGATGAGAAAAAAAGACTGAGAGGTAGTTTGCCTAAGGTCACAATAATGTGAGGGGGTTGGGACCTGGGATTTAGTATGCTAATTAATGCTTGTCACTTCGAAGACATTTGTTGTTAAACCATTATTGAACGCCCAGAGAATTGTGGAGTACATGTTACTTGCTGTGAAAAATTTATTGAGCCACCAATCTATAATGGAAAAAATAAAATCCTAGAAATTTCCCGAAGTGAGAGATTTTTGTTTCTCTGAAACAATAAAGAATTTAATACAGTTGAATTTAAAATTATGATCAAATTATATAAATGTAGTTCAATAGATACCAGTTTTAAAGATTTCTTTGGGAATATGTGGTTGAAAAGGGAAGAAATATATTAATCAAGGGTCTCTTCCACTCCTTTAGCATTTAGCATATACCGGTGACTTATACTGAAGACTTTCATCTGTATCACTCATTTCACACACTGACACTGCATCTAAAGACATAATTTTCATTCAAATAATATTAAGTAGTAAGAGACAATATTAAGTAAGAGACAACAGGGCTTATTCAGAGGACAATAGAGGAGATCTGTTAAATGGAGTTTATGATTCCTGATGTAGGGGAGTGATTCAAAAGTCTAGAAATAAGGTCAGACACACTTGGGGAAAAAACTTCAACAAAGAAGTGATAATGATCCAAGCCATTTCATAGGGATCTAGTGAACTGGCAGTGTCACAGGTGACTTCACCTCACATGAAAAGATGAATGAGATGATCTGGTGAATATAAAGTAAATAGATGTGGATAACTGCTAAATTTATGAATATGAGAAAAAGAATAAGGAAAATAAAAAAGAAAGAGTGGTCTGGTGCTGCAGTACATTCTGAAGTGCTGGTAAACTTTAGTTTCTACAGGTTTGTTTTCTGGGGTAGTTTTGGTGATGAATGTTATTACTGTATCACTGTTCTTTGCAGTCTTTACTGCTGGGATATTTAACTGCTCGTATTTTTATTAGGTGTGCTTGATACAAATGACACATTTTCTATAAACAACAGAATGACACTAATCTCACCATTTAATGATAAACCCACATGATGCTTTAGTGTGTCCTAGACAAGGTGTTGGCAAACTATGGCCTGATGCCCATGCAGTAGCCTTAGGCCTATTTATGTATGGACTGTGAACTGAGAGTGTTTTACTTTTTTTTTTTAATTGATAGCACTAGTTAATTTCCCTCCCTTAAGACCAGGTGCAACCAATGAGGTGAACATACCCTTGGGATTTTATTGTCTTCATTAGAAACAAAAGACGGCATTTAGAACTGTATTTCTTGGCCCTTTCTCTTCTCCAGGTTCAAAATGCTTGCATTCTCTTTAATAGCTGGCATTCTCTTGGCTCTACAGTTGGCCTCATCATATTCAGGCCTCAGTACAATCTTTGTAGTTTTAGTTGTTTTCCAGAAAATTGGCTGAGTCTGCCCACTACAGCTACTCTGCTTCCAGTGATAACACCAGTTTCCCTGGGCATAGTGGGAATCTGTCATTTTGTGGGATTGATGCTTGCCACACTTCTTACAGAAAGTCCGATGAGCATTTAGGAACATTCACTATGCTTGCTAGAGCACTATCTGCACAGAAAGAAAATTACCTTTATAAGCAGTTGGAAAGAAAAATAATTTTTTAATCATAGAGGTTTCAGAGGATCCTTGTGAAACACTAGTTAAAGATAAGTGGGGGAGAAGTGCAAAGGGAGAAGGAAATTTGATTGATTGGCTGTCCTGTACCATTGATTTAATGGAGATTTTTGGCAGAAGGGGATGAGGGAGAGGCGGGAAATGGAAGGCTAGGGTTGAGGGTGGGATGTAGAGCAAAGGATGAAATGGAAAAGACAGACAACTAATGCATTTCATTTATAACAATTAAAACAAATCAAATCAAAGAGCAGCGTAATTTGTCAACTTCAGTTCATAGGAAGATCCAAGTTCCCTCCAATCCTAATTTGATGTTTTATTTTTAAGAGCAGATACCAGTATGGTGAATAGTATTACTCCAGAGGAATTAAAGGAATATCTTAGGGCTGCTTCATCCACATTCACTTTATGAATGGATACCTCCCTTACCTCAGAGTGCTTTAGGGAGGTACTGCTGCCATTATTACATGATTCCTTATTAAGTTTGAAAAGTGCCTGAAAGTTTGGGCACCAGGACACCACAGCAATATGTTCGTAAACTGCAACTTCAGGTTAATATAACTAAAGCAGTTACATTGTGAGATGTGCGGAAGGTATGTAATGTCCTTTCTGTCACAGAGGTGGCCTTAGTTCTTAACAGATGATGTAGCCACCATCTGAGCCACCCATGAAGAAATTTGTTTCTCTGAGTTACATGGATATTGACTCTTTAAAAGCGTGTAAGCTGCTGAGCAACATTGGGAGGGCATCCAGGGGTTGGAGGAGGAGTGTCACCAGCAGTAGTATCCCCAGCTCCAAATCTGGCACCACCATCTTAACTTTCTTCGACCAGCACTGCTGAACCAGGTGGATGTATGGGGCCAACTGGATAATAAACCATGGGTATTGTGGAACCATGGTTCAACAGCCAAAGACTGGGGAAGATATAAGGAGGCCTTAGAAAGTGCACCTGACATGGTGGGGACTGTAGCAGCCACTGAGTACACAAATTTTGGACAGTAGATCCCTGACCTGGTAAGTGGAGCATCAGTGTAGGTGATGTGGGAGATGCAGTGTTTACCTGTATACTGGATTTCAGGAGGTTGCAGGTCTTAAGTTGCTTGCATTGGATATTGACCTTTGCTCTTCGTTGTGGCTGCAAATCCTGTTCATTTCCTAATTGTGGATGGCTTATTTTTCATCCTTTTCCTGTTAGTCACTGTAGCTTGAGGTTTATCTGTTTTGGTTATCTTTTGGGAGGCCTGACTCTTAAGTTTTAGCGATCTTTTATATAGTTCTTTTGCTCTCTATCTTCTTTCTTCTACTAACTTTGGTTTTTGTTTGTTCCTCTTTTTCAAGTTGCTATAGGTGTAATTTTAGACTGTTTATTTCGGATTTTTCTTCTTCTTCTTCTTTTTTTTTTTTTTTTTAAAGATTATTTATTAAGAACCGGGGCACAGGCCAGAAGCTCGGGAGGGCGAGAGGATCCACCAGAGACAGAATGGGGAACAGAACAGGCAGACCAATGAAATACACTGCTGAGGGGAGCAGCAGGCGAGATAGGAGAGATCTGCTGCGCCATGTGGGGCCCTTGCCGGCCGGCTGGGACCTAACCGGTGCTGCAGAGGCTGCGGGCAGCCTCACAGCACGGCATTCAACCACCTGTGCCACCAGGGGAAGCCCTGATTTTTCTTCTTAATGTTAGCCTGTGATGCAATTTTCTTTCTTCTCGACCACTTTTGATGCATCCCTTAAATTCTGATAGTTTGTATGTTTGTTTTCTATAGTCTTGAGATATTTTAGATTTCTGCTTTATTTTAGATTTTTTTTTTTTAATTTTTGCATAGGAGAACTGGGATGTGGGGGATGTGAGAAGATTCACCAGAGACACAGTAGGGAGCAGAACAGGTGGATTTCCTGAAATCCACTGCTAAGGGGAGCAGTGGGTGAGACAAGAGGTCTGCTGCACCATATGTGGGTTAGCTCCCTGGCCAGCAGGGATCAAACTCAGGCCATAGAGGTGATAGCACTGAGACTGACTCAACCCCTAAGCCACCAGGGAGGCCCTAGATTTTTATTTTAATGTCTTCTTTTATCAGTAGTTATTAAGCATCATGTTGTTTAGTTTCCATGTATTTATAGTTTTTCCTGTTTTTTTTTTTTTTATAGTACATTTCTAGCTTTATGGCATTATGTCAGAAAGATTATTAGGTATCATTTCAGTTTTTCTAGTTTTATTGATAATTGACTTGTGTCCTAATATATATTGTCTAGTCTTAAAATTTTTCAGTGTGCACTTGATAGATGGAGTAGTTTTTGGGTGGTGTGTTCTGTAGATAACTGTTAAGCCTGGTGATCTAACCGCTTAGTTAAAGCTGTTACTTCCTCACGCTTTGTCTTTCTTGTTGATTTGTCCATAGTTTTAAGTGAAGTATAAAGTCCCCTAATGTGTTGTTGTCAATATCTTTCTTTAGCTCTGATAGTAATTGTCCTACATGTCTTTATTTGACATGTAAAAATGCCTTTGGAATTTTGATAGGGAGTGCTTTGGATCTGTAGGTTGCTTTGGGTAGTATGCACATTTTAATAGCATTAAATTCTTCCAACTCATGAATAGGAACTATTTTTCTATTTCTTTGTGTCTTCAATTTCTGTCTTCAGTGTCTTAGAGTTTACAGTGTACTGATATTTTCACATCCTGGGCCTCATTATTCCTAGGCATTTTATTCTTTTTTTTTTAAAAGATTTATTTATTTATGCATACAAGAACTGGGGTACAGGCCAGAGTTGTGGGGGGTGAGAGGATTCACCAGAGACAGAGTGGGGAACAGAACAAGCAGATTATTTCAGTCAATCTGAAATACACTGAAATACACTGAAATACACTGAAATACACTGAAATACACTGCTGAGAGGAGCAGCAGTCGAGTCAGGAGAGGTCTGCTGTGCCATGTGAGTAGCTCCCTGCCCGGGGATTGAACTTGTGCTGCAAACCCCTTGTGCCACTAGGGAAGCCCCATTTTATTCTTTTTGATGCAATTGTAGGTGGGATTGTTTTTCTTAATTTCTCTTTTTAATAGTTTACTCTTGTGCCACCCGGGAGGCCTTCCTTATTATCTTTTAAGATTGAATTATTTATACATACAAGAACTTGGGTACAGGCTGGAGTTTTGTCTGGTGAGAGGATTCACCAGAGACAGATCGGGGAACAGAACAGGCAGATTGACTGAAATACACTGCTGAGGGGAGCAGTGGGCAGGTCAGGAGAGGTCTGCTGGGCCAAGTGGGTCACCTCCCTGGCAGGGGATTGAACTTGTGCTGTAGTGGCTGTGGTGAGCTTCATAGGTTGCATCTTAACCTCTTGGCCACCAGGGAGGCCCCCTCCCTTACTAGCTTCTAAAGACTAAACTTTTTTTTTTTTAAAGATTTATTTATTTATACAAGCACTGGGTACAGTCAGAAGCGTGGGAGGGTGAGAGAATTCACCAGAGCCAGAGTGGGGAGCAGAGCAGGCAGAAGGACCCAAGTACACTGCTGAGGGGAGCAGCGGGCGGCAGGAGAGGTCTGCGCGCCATGTGGGACCCTCCTCCGGTGGCCGGGGAGCAGCTGGGGATCGAACCGGTGCCGCAGAGGCTGCGGGCAGCTTTGCAACCCAATGCTCAACCGCTGTGCCACCGGGGAGGCCCTAAAGACCAAACTTCTTGGCCCTGAATCAAGGCCAACAGTTTGCTGAAGCTGTTGGTTTCAAGCAGGCGCCTAAAGAAATGTCTTTCTGTGATGTGTTGACCATTTCAGAACTTTGGAAATGTAATGGTCCATTCATTAGAAAGAAACATCTGAGTGGGTAAAAAAAATAAAAGACTTATTTACACTTATTTACAGAAGTGTACCAATTTTGTTATTAAGTCAATTTTTTATAGACTTAACATACAGGAGCGAGCAATTGTTAGAGATTGACCAAAATCACCTTTACAATAGTTTTTATTTTTATCACTTTGCTGGACCTACGGACAATACTTAAATCTTATTGACTGCAAATAGTGTGTTTATTGCTATTGAAGTGTAGGAAGGAAAGACTTCAAAATTGATGCCTGTGGGTGGTGCAGCGGTTGAGCGCTGGGTTGAGAAGCTGCCCGCAGCCTCTGCAGCGCCAGTTCGATCCCCGGCTGCTCCCCGGCCACCGGAGGAGGGTCCCACATGGCGGCAGACCTCTCCTGCCGCTGGCTGCTCCCCTCAGCAGTGTGCTTCGGTCCTTCTGCCTGCTCTGCTCCTGCTCTGGCTCTGGTGAATTCTCTCATCCTCCCACGCTTCTGACTGTACCCAGTGCTTGTATAAATAAATAAATAAATAAATAAAAATAAATAAATCTTTAAAAAAATAAAATAAAATTGATGCCTGAATACTTAATTCATTTGCATAAGACTGCTTGCATTAAATGATACTTTAAGAAGAAAATGTCATTCAGTGTGGGCAATATTTCAGACATACTCACATGAAACTGGCAGGTCTTTGGTGCAAATGGAACCATAATAACATACAGAAAGTTGACCTCTAAAACTGTTTTAGAAATGATCTTCATAAGTTTAGTTTCATATCTCAAACCCATTACTTTGAAATTCTCATCAAGTTTTAGTTTGTGTTCTTAGACTTTTTCCGTAAACAATTTTTTTTGATGAGGGATATGATATGGGTCTTAAGATTTATTCATTTGTGGACTGAAAAAAGTGATATATGTCCTGTTTTGTGCTCGGCACTGGGACTATTGCAGTATACTTTATTTTTGCATGAACGATACAGAGTATTAATTCTGAAATATTGCCAGGAAATTGTGCCCATAGGTCAAAAACTACCATTGTTTTATGGTATTGTAAAATATTCTGCTTAAATTCTCAACCACACTGACAGTAAGAATAGTGCTGGTTACTAGACTTCAGTTTTAACTTTAATTTCCAGACGGTAGATTAGGGCATTGACATAGGGTTGATAACTTCATATTGTAACAAGTAATGGCATTTAATCAAAAGTTAAATAACATCCATTTACTACTGTCCCCATATTTTTTTTTTTTTTAAGATTTTATTCATCTATGCATACAAGAGCTGGGGCACAGGCCAGAGATGTAGGGGGTGAGAGGGCCCACCTGAGACAGAGCGGGGAACAGAACAGGCAGACCGACTGAAATACACTGCTGAGGGGAGCAGCAGGTGAGACAGGAGAGGTCCACCTAGCCATGTGGGTTTCTCTCTGGCCAGCCGGGAATCGAACTCGTGCTGCAGAGGCTGTGGATTGTCTCACAGTGCGATGCTCAACCCCTTGCGCCAGCCCCTGCCCCCATATCTTAAAAGATATTTTTATACCAGAAAAAGTAAGAAAGACATACTCTCAAAAAAAGGATAATGACTTTAAAAAGAATGTCTTTTGTTTTTTACATCATGTTACATCATTGTTTGGCACCTGAATGTAGACTGTAGACTGTCATTTTGGCTGTGCTGATATCATTTACCTAGTCTCTCAGTATTCTGAGAACAGGAAGCCTTGTCCTAATAACTTAGCCAATTGAATAAAGAATTTTCTACTAATCTTAGACCCCTGCTTCCTGCTTACCCTGGTATAAAATAACCATACGCCTCTTTCATAATGTAAAAAATAATTGACTATTTCCTATAATAGTTCTGAAATACCTTATAATGGAAGTCCCACTGTACTGTTGTATACTCTTAAAGTTTTTTTAAAATTTAAATTTTTTAAAGCATTTTAAATTTAATGACTACTCTTTATTCCTTCTAACAGGGTTTTTGTGCAACTAGTGTAACTTTTCCATTCTTATAACTCTTCTTATAACTCATTCTTTTTTTTTTTTTTTTTTTTTTTTAAAGATTTATTTATTTATTTATACAAACACTGGGAACAGTCAGAAGCGCGGGAGGGTGAGCGAATTCACCAGAGCCAGAGCGGGGAGCAGAGCAGGCAGAAGGACCGAAGCACACTGCTGAGGGGAGCAGCAGGCGGCAGGAGAGGTCTGCGCGCCATGTGGGACCCTCCTCCGGTGGCCGGGGAGCAGCCGGGGATTGAACTGGCGCTGCAGAGGCCGCTGGCAGCTTCCCAACCCAGCGCTCAACTGCTGCGCCACCGGAGAGACCCTTATAACTCATTCTTATAACTCTTATAACTCTCAAAGCATACCGTATTATTTGAAAGCAGTTTTGTTTTGTATTTTTTTTTTTTTGATTGATATAGACCTCCATTGGTCTAATTGTATATATACTATTAGATATTTTCACAGTACTTCTGGAGGGAAAGGAAAGTATCTTCTCAAAGTTTATCTTTCTCATTTCAGTCCTCATTTTCTCTTCAGCTGCCCTGCCAACCACTCCTCCACTCAAGTAGTATTTTGTTATTTTCTACAGCCTATGTTAGAGTAGACTAGACTAAGCTATGTCTATACTATTACCATGATATTACTGAACATTATTACATACAATAAGAAAATATATATATATATATTATATAGAAAAGAGTGCAGCCTGATTCTTAGCCATCTTTTTTATTTTGAAATATAACCCCATGCAAAGTTTAACACAGAAAAAGGCACAAACGTGAATATAAAGTTCAATAATATATAACAAAGCAAACATGGAATGACTATCCAGGTTTAAAAGTAGAAAGTTGTCCCTGACTTCAAAATGCTGCTTTGTCTCCCTTCCAACTCTTACCCACCTCCATCCAAAGATAACTTGCTTTAACTTCTTACACTAAATCTTCATTTTGACTTTTGTGATTTTCTTAATGCCAGTGGGATCTGTAGTGATAGCCCCCTATTTCACTGCTCTCTCCTGGAAAAATCTCATTAAACATCAATCCTTTTTATTAGTTTTTGCAAAGAACCAACTCTTGGCCTGATTATATTTCTCTGTCTTGATAGCTCTCTGATGCTTACAAATAGATGATTTTTATATTTCATTCATCTAAGTTTACTTGTCATCAGTGGCGAGGATTTGTCTGAAATCACCCTGTTTACTTATAAATGGAAGCAAAAATTTCTCTTAGACTTCTTTTTACAATTGACATAGTGCAGAACAGGTATGGCTTGGGACTTAGGTGGCTTTAATACTACAAAACATTTTTTTAAACTATGGATTTGATTTTTTTATATCTAGTTAACATCCACCTCCATACATACAAGAATTCTTTTTACTGAGGTAATGTTAGTTTGCTACACTTGTGTAGGTTTCATATATACAATTTCTCACTTCAGCAGCTATCACATCACACTCACCATCAATGTCCACACACTATCCATCATCAAGTAGTTTCATCCCCCTCCTTTGCCTCTCATAACAGTATTTTGTTGTCCAAGTGGATTTTGGTTTTTGTTGTTTGTTTGATTGCTTTTCTTTTCTTTATAGTTCACAAATGAGTGAAATCATATGGTATGTCTTCTCCTTTTGACTTACTTCACTTATCAGAATACCTTCAAGGTATGTCCATATTCTGTTATTTTTGTACCTGAGTAGTGTACCATTATGTATGTATACCACATCTTCTTAAGCTATGCATCCTTAATCCAATCAGTCTACTCAACTGGAGTTTCACATGTTGGCTATTGTAAATAGTTACATGAACACAGGGGTGCTTATCTTTTAAACTACTCAAACGTAGAATAACCATTATACTCCATACACTGCTTAGTGCCGAGATCACTGTGATGAATAAGAGAGTTTTTGCTTTTAGGTGATTAAAGTGCAGTTGAGGTGGTAACCAGTTTAGGACATTGTTTTAATGTCTTATGTTGGGGAATATATACAGGAGGCCCCTAATGCTGGTTGATCAGGAAACACCTCTTGTAGGAGGTGATAGCTAAAATGAAAGAGGTTTAGTTTAGAGTTGGCATAGTATAGGGGTACAGTAGGGAAGTGGACAGAAGTCCAAAGAATGTGTTGAATTTTTAGAATTATCTATATGACTGGATCAAATAGTAGAGAGTGAAAGATGTGGAGGTTAGGCAAGAACAGATCAGATTGTATAGAATCTATTTTGATACTGAGAATGAATAGAAAGGGGAGAGCAAAATTGTGTGGAGGAAGGTGGCCATTGTCTAGTTAACAGATTTTTGCAATAGTGCAGGCTTACGATAGTGAGGGTGACGAAAATGGAATCTAAGATCTTTAGGAGGAGAAATAGAATTTGTGGAAAATGAAAGCTTAAGAAGGAAAAACTGACAATATGGATATAATTTTCTGAGGTAGGGAACACAGAATCAATAGATTTAGGAGGAAAGTTAAGGAGTTCAGTTTTGAATTTCTTTGGTTTAAATACACAAGGGAGAAATCAGAAGACAGCATATGATTGAAGTTAATAGGGGGGAGGTGAGAGAACTTACATAATACTAGAGGGGGCTGATGTAAATGAGCTCTGTTTGTGAGAGGCTGTGATCCTGATACTTAATTGTAGAGGAGGGACAGGAGTGAATGCGGGACAGAATAGATGCAGATGTAGTTAAATGTATGATATGCAGAGTGGCTGGACAGAAGGTTGGAGGATTTCTTGTCAGTAATGTAACAGGGTGGGCCCCAGAAAAAGGGGAGGTTCCCACTTCCCTGTCCCACCCAATGAAGGCTGGAGTCAGGAGGGAGGAGGAGAAGCTAGGGAGGAGAGCAGAGGAAGGAAGGAAGAAAGCCAGGAGGATACCTGGAGGAGGCATATGGAGCAGAGAGAGATGTGAAGAAGCTGCACTTGCTTCTCAGCCTTGAACTTGTACCAGGGACTTGGGAGACTTGGAAGGAGACACTTAACACACGTGGGTGAGAGACCCATGTGGAGGCTAACAATGGTGGCCTTTATCTTGATTTTGCTCTTTTCCTTCTAGACTTGCCTGGCCCCTTCTGACCCTTTTCTTTGGGTTCCCACCAGGAGGTGCTTTAAACTTGTGGCAGGCTTTCATGCCTCGGTGATCCTGCTTTGGGCCAACCCCATTTGGCTGGGCCATTTACCCACGAGGGGATGGTTAACTTTGGAGGCTTGATTTGGAAACTATATTCTTTGTCTTACTCTTTTCTTCTTTTTATTGCACACTAATTGTATTAAGGTTTCTTTCCATTAAAGGTCTTATTCACTGAGCATGTTTTGTCTTGATGTTGTGGAAGGCAGAACCTATACAGAGCTGGCAGGTGTGGTGGTTCTGGGTGCCCCTCACCGTGCCTGGTAACATCTCACCCTGCCCTGTAGCAGTAACTTCTCTAATATTTGGTAATCATCTGAGCTATGGAGAAAGGCTTGGAGAGAGTTGGTAGCATGTAGAGTGATTGAAATAGCTTCTATGAAAGTGAAAGAGGGGGAAGAGTAAGAAAGTATGTATTTTCTAGAATGCTAGGTATCAATAAGGAAGGACCCAGTTAAGATTGGAGATAGTATGTGTATATAAACATCAAAATGTGAGGTTTAGTAATTTTTCTATAACCTGTTTGTAGTAAATGTAGGCTGCTGCATTGACTCATCAAGTCCTGACTTGTAGAATAAATAAGACAGTAGGAACAAGGAGTTGAAAATACTGATAAAGTAATGGTTCAAGTGATTTTTGGTTGTGTGGGACTGAAGAACATGAAAATTGGGAAGAGACTGATCAGATAGATGAAAATTCCAAGGGAGAAGAGATTAAAGGTCTCAGTATGGTTAGAATATGTTAGAGGAGTTTGGGAGCGAAATCTCTAAAGTTAGGTTTCTTTTTCTTTTTTTAATTATCTCATCTCAAGAACTCATAGATACTTGGTTTCTTTAATTTCTGTAGTTTGTTTAGTAAATGAAAAATAAACCATGTTTTATGGTTTTGGGTTTTTTTTTGCCATTGTTTGCGTAGTAAAAAACCACATACAGGAAAGTTTACTCTGGTCGGTTTTAATGGTTTGAGATACATCTTTCTACTTGTAAAAAGATTGACAATTTTTGTTTACATTTTTCAAAAATGAAAAACATAACATCTTCCCGTGTCAAGTCATTGCCAAAAAATCATTACATAGATTGTAACTCATTTTTAACAGATGGCATATTTCATGCTGTAACTTAATAGCTTTAGCTTTATTGATGAACATTTAAAGTTGATTCTAGTTTTCTTTTTATTTATTTGTTTGTTTGTTTATTTATTTATTTATACATGCAAGCACTGGGTACAGTCAGAAGCGTGGAAGGGTGAGAGAATTCACCAGAGTCAGAGAGCAGAGCAGGCAGACTGACGAAGTACACTGATGAGGGGAGCAGCGGGCTGCAGGAGAGGTCTGCGCGCCATGTGGGACCCTCACCCAGTGGCCGGGGATCGAACTGGTGTTGCAGAGGCTGCGGGCAGGTTTGCAGCCCAGTGCTCAACCGCTGAGCCACCGGGGAGGCCCTGATTCTAGTTTTCTAAGTGTAAAAAGCACTCTACAAAATATCTTTATATGTGTATGTATTAATACTTATATATTTCTGCAAGAGAAATCTCCTGAAGTTCTGTAACTTGGTTAAAGGCTGTTATTTGTCTTTTTTTTTTTTTTTTTTTTTTAAGATTTATTTATTTATACAAGCTCTGGGTACAGTCAGAAGCGCAGGGAGGGTGAGAGAATTCACCAGAGCCAGAGCGGGGAGCAGAGCAGGCAGAAGGACTGAAGTACACTGCTGAGGGGAGCAGTGGGCGGCAGGAGAGGTCTGTGCGCCATGTGGGACCCTCCTCCTGTGGCCGGGGAGCAGCTGGGGATCGAACCGGCGCTGCAGAGGCTGCGGGCAGCTTCACAACCCAGCGCTCAACCGCTGCACCACCGGGGAGGCCCTGTTATTTGTTTTTAAAACTTCTAAGAAATGTATGTAAGTGTGTCTTCATAGGTTTTCATGAAGCAACCAAATCCAAGTATCTATATCAAGAAATAGATTATTGCTAGCACCCTTAGAAATCCTTCTTAGGTCTGCTAGTCATTCCCTTCTCACCACAGAATCAAAGACATGTTAAAAAAATCCCTACTTTAGTATTCATTTACTTTTGGTTTTACTTGTTCTAGCTCTTTATCTAAATGGGTTTACTTAGTACTCTGTTGAATTTATCATCTCTGAATAGTAAAAAAAAATCTAACAATGGCAAGAATATTTAAATCAAGACTATAGATTTAATTACTACTAATGAGGCCAAAGTAGAGAACTGTGTTTAGGAAGGGCTTGAAGTAGAAAAGATGCAGCTAGTTACAACTGAATGATAGAGAATAGTTTACATTTCCTAAGTCAGCCCTAATAGAATAGTATTAAAACTGCTTCAGAAGGAGAGTTTTTGAATGAGAAAACATAAATGTCTCTAAGGGACACATAAGTAAAGTATTACAATGAAATACTGTAGAGCAATGAAAAAGAACTGTGATTCACAAACTATGAATTAATCTCAGACAGTGGGCAAAACTGATATGTGTTGCAGAAGTTAGAGTAATGATTAGGTATGTGAAATATGGCTAGTAACTGACTAGTTACTTTGGGCCTCTGGAAATGTTTTATGTTTTGATTTGGATGGTGATTTCTATTATATATATAGAAATTCATCAGGTTGGACCCTTAAATGTGTGTGCTTTTCTTGGTAAATTATATTTCAAATTACATTTATTTTTTTTAATTTTTTTTTAAAGATTTATTTATTTATTCATACAAGCACTGGGTACAGTCAGAAGCGCGGGAGGGTGAGTGAATTCACCAGAGCCAGAGGGGAGATAAGAACAGGCAGATTGACGAGGTACACTGCTGAGGGGAGCAGCGGGCCGCAGGAGAGGTCTGCGCGCCATGTGGGACCCTCGCCCAGCTGTGCACCACTGAGGAGGCCCAAAAAGTGGGATATTTTTAAATCCTACCTAAAGCCATCCCTTTTCTCTGACCAGGTTTATGCCAGTCATTTTCCACTTTGATGTATTTAGTCCTTTGTTCCTCTTATTCCCATTAACTTTTAGAGCAATTATTCATTCTTATCACCAATAATAGGTATTAGTAACATTCAAATATATTTGTTTCATGTCATGACCTTTTCATAATTATACATGAACTTTATATTTCTAATCAGTGCTTATGACTGTTGTAAAGTTCTTGACTTGCATTCCACAAGTCCTTAGTTTTCTCATTCTTGGTGGGATGAGCTTATATTAGAATGCAGTTAAATATATCACTACAAACACTTTTTTCAGCTATTTTGCTTTTTAATAAGCAAGACTGCCTTGCTTAAGTACACTGCCTTATAGTCACGTGTAAACTCATTGCCACGTTGGAAACCAAAACATTCAGTGAACTGGTTTATGTTATATGAGTTAACATTTTAGTTATATCAGATACACAGTATATTAATGGGAAAGGGGCTGTGATATGGGTTATAGTGCCAGGGAGTGTAAAACGCTTTGTCATTATTTTTGACCTTCTAGTATATGAATTCCTGTTTCATATTTGTGAAATTCTTTTATAATTTTTGGTGGGAAACAGAACCTCCTTGTAACTATAGCCAGGTAGATTTGGTCAAGCAAATCACCAAGTGGGCAGCAATTCAGGAGCCAGTCACACAGAAAATTAGGAGCTGATAGACTCTCATCTGTCAGGAATAACAGTAGTAGTTGTCATGCTGTCGTCCTTAATCCAATTCTGCTGTAATTCTTTAATTCTTTCATGATTGTGTATCTTATAAGCCATGTTCTCCTAAGATTGGTATCTATTAGATATCTTTTCATAAAAATACTTCCTTCTTAAACTTGCCACAGTAGGCTCTGTTGCTTCCAACTAACTGCGGGAAAAATACTTAAAAAGAGGAAATCTTGTGTTAGTTTTTTTCAGAGCTTATCACAAACAAATTTTGTTTTCTCAAGTATATTACACACAGTTTTAAAGTGTTTTAATCCAAACTTTGTGAGACATGTTGTATACTATAGTTTTTTTCATTTTACTATTTGCATTTTAAAATTTCAGTGTGCTTTATGGACCATGTGCTGCTATGTATGCCTGAAGTACTTGAAATGCAAAATTGGAGACATCTTGCTATCTAAATGCTTGACTGGATTAAGCGCCTAATTAGGATGATTTTCCAACAGGCTGGAGTAAGCATGCATTCGGTGAGTGCTCAAAATATATTTTTAAAATCCAGGCTTTTAGATGTTTTAATGTTAAAGTGAGAAATATATTATTAAACCAACATTTTAAATTTACCATTTATGTACTATTTAAATTTCTTACTACTTAGATATAAATCTTAATCCTAATTAAAGGAGTAACTTGGGGTATTTTGAAAATATTCATCTGACTGTTAAAAGCAATGCATTTGTTATTAGTGAAAAAAGTTTTAAATGTATATAGAAATCACTGAGTAAAGTGATTGTGATTTGTTAAATGCCAAATCACTGACTTGGCATTTGACAACTTTGGGTGTTGTATCAATATAATGGTTACTATTGAATACTGTTTAATATGATTTATCCCATAGCTGTTTATAATATAAATTATGTCTCCCAAAATAAGGTTTGTAGAGATATGAAGGAAAAATTGGTATAATATGGTTATGCCATGCCAGAGGTACTAGTTCTGCTCTTGACATTTTTAAAAGTATTTTCCACTTACTAGTCCATAAATTTTGTTCAGGTTCAGTGTAAAGTTATTTGAAAATAGTTTTGCTAAGCTTTTATTTTTTTGGTGGAATATTGTTTTTCATTTTCACATTGAAATGTTTTGTTGTCAGTAACATGGAATTCTTTTTTTAACATGGAGCTAAGTTTTACTTAAGATATATGCAAGTTACATAATTTGAATATGGATATACTTTTTTTTAAAGATTTATTTATTTATGCATACAGGAACTGGGGTACAGGCCAGAGATAGTGGGGGTGAGAGGATTCACCGGAATCAAACAGGGGAGCAGAACAGGAGGATCGGCTGAAATACACTGCTGAGGGGAGCAGCAGGCAAGACAGGAGAGGTCTGCTGCGACATCTGTGGGTTAGCTCCCTGGCCAGGGATGGAACTCAGGCCATAAAGGTGATAGCACTGACTTAACCCTAAGACCACCAGATGGGCCCTGGGTATACTTTTTAATGCAGTTTTACTTTTATTGTTTTTGTGTCTTCTCATATCTTAAAAGAAAGTTCATCTTTGAACCCCTCAAATCTCTCAAAGTTATATTTATTTTCTTTGCAAGTAAAAAGCAAAGAACCAGTTGACAGACGGAAGCTAGACTTTTGGTGGTGACCATAATGCAGTATATACAAATGTCGAATTATAATGCTGTGTACCTGAAACTTATATAATATTATAAACCAATGTTATATCAAAATTTTCTTAATTAAAAACAAAAAGCGAAGAACCAAAAAATTTACCTTTTAAAAAAATGGGAACATGACTTTGAGATTATTAACTTATGGATAAATAAGAAAATAGTTTGTGAAGTTTATAGTATTTTTATCTTTTCCAGTTATGTCTTAGACTTCACTTAATGCAGCTACTTCATTTCTTATTTGTTATTTACCTTCATTTGACTAGGTAGGATAGATAAACATTTCAGTACTAACAGCAGAATTTTTTTTGCTTTCGAAAGAAGGGAAGCTGCTTTTTTTGCTTATGATTCCTCAGAATTAGAACTTCACAATTTATGATTTCTATTTTTTTGTAATTTTAGTAAGAAAAACAGTTTAGTGGGAAGATTGTGGGTCCTGGATTCAAACAGATCTGGACCTGAAATTTATCTCTGCCAGTTACTTTCTTCATCAACAAATGATAAGAACAACTATTAATGCAGAGTTAAATGACATTGAATGTAAAACACTCAGCAACAGTGGCTTGTTTATAATGTCGGTATATTCAATAATGGTTAGCTCCTTGTAGTTTTGCTCTGTCATTCCCCACCCCAAGTCAGGCAAATGTGGGCAGTGTTGACAAGCCAAAGCCCATAATTCTGTTGCAGAGACAGATAACACATTTTGTTTAGTTTGTTCGTTTTTTTAGCTTAGTTCATTTTGAGCTGTAAAATGAGTGGCTTTCATCAGAGAATAGACTAAGTAAGACAGCACTAGCATGCTTTCAATATTGTATTAACAGCTGGGTATCCTTCTACTAATAGAAATGAGATCATTTTTTTAATGTATTGAGGGTAACATAAGGCAAACTTTGTTAATGAAAAGTTAATATAAAAATAAGGTTTTTTCCTACATAAAACAATTGGATCTTTTGGAGTTATTTTCTGTCTTTAGTTCCCAAGATCTCCTTAACTTGCTGGCTAAGAATGAAAAGGTATAGTCTCCCTGCAAGATTTTACCTTTGGGTCAGAAGTAGGATGTTGCCCTATTCATGAATTAATAAAGCCTAATCGAGGCAAAATATAGCTCTTCTGCCCACCTGTGTCTATACAGGTGTTTCTTTTCACATACTTTTCCCTTTGAAAACAGGCAGTAGCTCTCCTCCCAAGACTGACTGACTGTGTCTATGCATGCATCTCTTTTAACGAAAGGGACAGCTCTTGTGTCTGTGCAAGCATCCTTTCCTTTTTTTTATAATGAACGTGCACTTTTGGATATTAAAAAGAAAGCCAAATTGATCTCTAAATTTATAGGAATTAAAAAAAAATATTTTACCTTTGGCATTTGAAAATTAAAAAAACAATTTTTATATTGCTACCTTTCAGTGATAAGTACTTATTTTCTTGTTGGTTTTACATATAAATGAATTTGATGCTGTGTTTCAGTAATTCAAGAGAGAAACAACCTTCATCCGTGGCATATTTTATTTTTTTTAAATGTTTAAAAAATGTTCCAAGTGTTGTCATCAGGAATGTGTTTTTGCCATTAGGACAACTGGTGATGATTAACTCTGTATTTTATTATATACAGTAGTGATTTAATAGCCACCCATGATTGGCTTACTATATCTGGTTCCTTTATATATTATGTGTTGTCACTGCAATAGTGTTTTCTTTTTTTAAACAGATGAGGAACCTGAGGTTCACAATGTTTAATTGCCTTAACCTGACTTATCTGATTAATAAGAAGCAAACCTGTGATACGAACCCAATGCCGATTCCAAAATCCTTCCTCTTTTCAGTAAACTTTTCTATCTCCTATAATAAAACAGGAAGGATACTATTAAACAGGAAGGATATCTATTAAAAACATTACATGAAAACTTTAACTCCTTTAATGCTTGTTTATTTACTCATGAAATAGGTATTGTCCCATTGTGTAGGAGAGGACACAGAAATACAGAGGAACCAGTAATTTGGCCAGCTTTACGATATTATTATTACTATATTATTATTATTACTCCTACTATTACTTAAAGCCAGGCCTCTATGCTCCCATGGTCTCTATGTGTTTTCTGTACTGCCCTCCATTTTGCCTCAATACTTGTTTGAATTTAAAACCATATTTTCACATCAGGGCCTCCCTGGTGGCGCAAGGGTTAAGACACAACCTATGAAGCAATCCGCAGCCACTTCAGCACGAGTTCGATTCCTGGCCAGCCAGGGAGCAACCCACATGGTACAGCAGATCTCTCCTGACTCGCACACTGCTCCCCTCACCAGTGTACTTTGGTTAATCTGCCTGTTCTGCTCCCTATTCTGTCTCTGGTGAATCCTCTCATCCCCCACACCTCTGGCCTGTACCCCAGCTTTTGTATGCATAAGTAAATAAATCTTTTAAAAAAACCAAAAAAACCATATATTCACATCAATCCAAACCTTCTCATCTGTTGTATTAATGTTCTTGAGCAAAGGTGTTTTTAAACTAGAAAAAGCAAGAATAAAATGAAGCAACTGTGATTCTGACAGATCAGTATTTTGTTTAAAAAAAAAGTTATAGCAAGTATCTAATATTAGTACTATATTTCCAGGAATACTTATAAACTGTACCCTTATTTTTACCTTTTTTGCTTTTGTAGGAGTAATGTGAATGTGACTAGGAGTTTAGAGTAAGGAAGAAGAGACATGAGCAAAGTGTTAGATTTTTTGAAATTGTTAGAGAGTTTCATTTTTCTCTTTCTGCTCCTCTCCCTCAACACTGTTTTTATTTTCTCCTGGCTCTCTTGGAATTAAGAAATTATACTTTATTTGGTTTGACCTCCTTCCCAGAAAAATGTTTTATACAAACACACGCACACACACATACTCACACACACACAGTTTTGCCTGTAATTTTAGGTTTATGTGAATCCCAGAAGAAGAATCCCTTGTGGTAATATTACATAGTTTATCTTGGGGAACAAAAAAAGGTATTTACTTAGAATTAAATTTGTATTAAGTAGTACCTCTCATAGTAATACAGGTTGAATCAGTCTATAACAAATACATTACCACATAAAGCTTGAGTTAAGTCATCATGATGAAACAGATGACAGCTTCAGATTCTAGCCACACACACTCCTCAACACTTCCACAGTAGTATTTCACTATGTTCAAAAAGAAGAAATTGTTTTCCTGTTGTCATCTTCCGCCTTGCTGTCATCACTTTCAAACATTGTTGCTAAATGTTATGGACTGTCATTATTAGACAGACATGCAAACACACACACATAGATTCATTATTAGATTGTCAGTTCTTATAAATAAAGCCTTTTTTTGTTTAATAACTTATTTAATTATATCTTAATGGAATGGAATTCTTCTTAATGAAATCAAATTGTCTAGTAATGACATTTTTTTCCCTGCCCTTTTCTCTTCCATCTGAAATATTAATGACAGTTTATCTTTGAGGATGTCTTTCCTTCTCTAAACAAGTATACTGACAAAATACAGTTCAGCCACCAGTTAGGGTAAGGAGATGAACTTGGGTCATGTAACTTCCCACTGCACAGATGGTGATTTCCAGTACCATCTGTTCATTATTTCTTCACAGCCTTTTATGGTATCCCACCCCTTCTTTCCCCCATTACTGAATAGAGAAAAGTAAGACGTAGTTTTAGAGTTCCTAGAAGTTGACTTCTTTTTCCCCTCACTATAATCCAGTAAAGGTTATGACTTTTCTTTCTTAATAATCTACCCATTAAAAAAAAAATCTACCCATTCATTTACATGGCCCCTAGCTTCATATTTCATTGTGATAAGTGCTAGCTCATTCACAAGTAACAGAAAACGTTTTATTAGTCTACTGTGTATAATTGAAAAGATAATCAACATAAAGCAAGCTGTTCTTTTACTTCTTTTAACTTTGTAGAAATCCAACTACTCTTACTCCTTGTGAGTAAAAGTAAAGTCACTCTTCACCTTCTCTTGTGGAAGGAGCCTGGTATTCTTTCCTTCTGATATTAAGCATATGGGAAGTAGGAGCTAAAATAGTCCTGCAGAATACATAGCAGAGAATGCTAAAAGCTGGCAGAAACTTTTGTTCTTGACCTTGACAAATCCTTTGTAAAACTTTTCTTTGTGAACTTTTTGTCCTTTTCATCTGCAGACAAGATCTTTGCTTACTGGAAGGGCAGGAGATTTATCCCTGACTATGTGATTGGATATTATGATGCAATAAGTAGCGTTCCACTAGTATGTCACAGGAGAATTTTGACTTCTGACTAGAAGATTCAAGATGAGAAATGACAAATGATGTAGTTGATATTGCCAAATGGATTTAATTTTAAAAGACCAAGACCTATTAAAATGTATAAAGAGTTTAATGTCTATTTTAGAATTACTTGCACAAGTTTTTTTCCCCCACATTCTAATTTTTTTCTAGGCTGCCTATATGGCTTTGTGAAAGTATATTTCCAGTTTTTCTGTAGGCATGTGTTTTCTCTTAGTGCATGTGTTATATAATTCATGTGTGTATGATCATGGTGTGAACAATATACATTCCTGATCTACAGGTAATTCTCTTTTAAACTTTAAAAAAACTGTCTCTTATGTTTTTTTCTTTAATAACAGTATTTCAATATTGATATCCTGTTTTTCCTTAATTTGCTTTATTTTATTTTTTGCATAAAAGAACTGGGGTATAGGCCAGAAGCCTGGGAGTAGAGGGTGAGAGGATTCACCAGAGACAGAATAGGGAGCAGAACAGGCAGATTTACTGCAATACACTGCTGAGGGGAGCAGCGGGCGAGAACAGGAGAGGTCTGTTGCATGTATGTGGTTTGGCTCCCTGGCTGCGGATCAAACTCAGGTGGTAGTGGTGATAGTGCTGAAACTTAACCAAATTTAATACAATTTTCCAGTTGTATCATCCCTCTAACATAAATATTTCCAAAGCAAAACTTACCATTTTTGTTGGTTATAGTGTAAGTTACAGTATTTTCTGAAACTCCCAGGTAAAAATTAGTGAAACTTTGAACATACTGATAAGAATTATATAAAAATTGAGGCATATGTGAGATGTGTTACATAAAACCCCATTATCCTTTTGTATCCTTTGACTCTTACTGGCCTGCCTAAATTGATTTTGGGCTAAAATCTAAGAAATCAAACAGCTTCTGTGCTGTGCATTTTAAATGTGCATGCTTTTAGAAAGATCTAAAGGTCTACTTTGGGTTATGTGTTGAAGCCATTTTTTCCTTAGTCATACTCTTTTTGCTAGAGTGATTTCATTCCTTAAAATGGGGAAAATGTCCATTACTCAAAATATTTGCCAGCTGATTTGATACTCTTTATTTAGTTTTAGGATACAATTAAATATTATTGTAGTATAATGAAACAAGTGTAACAGTTATCATTCTCATTTGTTTCTTTTGAAATTGCTTTTAATAGCATACTACATCTCTACCTCTCTGTCCAGGCTTTCAAGTATAGCACTCAAATGGATAGTTTTTCTCTTTAAGGAAAGATCATTACTTGGGGAGAAGTTTGAAGGTACAATTTGTAAAGATTTAACTTTCTACATGTGTTTTTGTTTTTGCTTCGGGGGTTGGTTTGGTTTTGTGTCAAGCATTGCATGTCTTATAAGCATGATGATTTCATCTGAAATGTTTACCCATTTGGCCACCCTGGCCTATTTAATACTTTTGTATAAATTAGGAAAAGGTATCTCTTCCCTGGGGACAGGCACCACAAGAAGATTCAATATTACTGACTTTCAGCCGCCATTCAGCCAGGTACTCTTGTGCAATAAACTAAATGCAGCACCCTGCATGGTACAAATTCAGCATCTGAACTTTGTACTGATTTGGATTTGTTTTGAAAAGTCCATTATAGCAAAAGTAGTTCATCGTTCTTAAAATTTTTATATATATAATTTTTTAATCTATGTAATTTTTAATATAATTTTTGTATATATAAAAAATTGTAAAACTAAAAATAGCAGAAAAGATAAGTGTTTCTTGAATAATAGTATAAAAAATTTTACTTTAAATAGTATTATTTCAGTTATATTTAGTATGCTTATATTAAACATTACTACATTAATACCTTTTTAAATTTTGAATTAAGGAATATTAGCTTATTTGTCATACATTTAGGGCATTGGGATTCTGTAATTAATGTGTCAGTATGTTCAGTGCTTTATTTATATTAATAGTTTTGTAAAAGTTTTATAATTAACTTTTGGGTTTTCCTCCTTCCTCAGGTACTTTGGTCTGGGAAGCCATACGGTTCATCTCGAAGTATTGTAAGGAAGATTGGTACTAATTTATCTCTGATTCAGTGTCCAAGAATTCAGTTTCAGGTACTTTGTTTTATATATTTCAAAATTCTTTATTAATATTTGCATCAGCAATATAAATAGGACAGTTTAAAAATATTTTTGTCATCTTTTATCCTTGTTGATACGATTATTAATAAAAGAAGATAATCTTACAGTTTTTCTAATTTTAGTCTCTGTGAAGTGACTACTCAAGATTTTTAAGATGTTTATTCTAAGAGTATATATTCAAAGATTTAGAAGCGTATATTAAGCCAAGCAGTTGTTAATTCCCAAGTGACAAACATAGGCCTTATATTGAGTAGGTCAGGTTATCACCATTACTTTCTTTAGTTATTACAGCTTCCTCTTCAAACAGCCACTGTGTTGCCCTAGTTTATTTTTATTTTTTTAATTTATTTTTTATTTTTTATTTTTTTCAAAGACCACTATTTTTTTCTTTCAACTACAGACTGTACCCTGCATTTTTTATCAACTTTATTAGACTTAATTTACATATTATAAAATTCATCCATTTGAAGTATACAGCTCAGTTTTGTTTTTTTGATTTTTGATTTATTTTTTTATTTTTTAAAAATTTTATATATTTTTTACATCATTTTTCATTTTTGCACAATGTATGCATTTTTATCTTGGTTATAGTCCCGTACAATTCCCACCCTCCCCTTGTTTTGATCCTACTCCCTCTTCCCCCCCCCTCTGTAGTGTGTCTCTGGTTTATAGTTGCTTGATGATTTTGATTTTTACTTAATTATAGTTAGTCTTTTTCCTGGTCCCTTATTTAGGTTTTCTAAATTCCTGCTATGAATGAGACCATCCGGTATTTTTCTTTTTCTTTCTGGCTTATTTCACTGAGCACGATCCCTTCCAGCTCCATCCATGTTGCTGCAGATTGCATGAGTTTATCTTTTTAATTGCTGAGTAATAATTCCATTCCTCAGTAACATATTTAAAGACACATCACCCAAAGCAGTGATAGTGAAGGCAAAGATAAACAGCTGGGACTACATCAAATTAAAGTGCTTCTGTCCAGCAAAAGATACAGCAACCAAAACAAAGAGACACCCCACCGGTTGGGAGAAGATTTTTGCACACAACACTAATGATAAAGGAGTGATCACAAAAATCTACAAAGAGCTGATGAGACTCAACAAAAACAAAGTAAATAACCCCTAGTTTATTTTTAGATGCCCCTATGGATGCCATGAAGTTGTTTTCTTCATCTATGGTTTAAAGCTCAGCACTAATTGTAGAAACCATTGGCAATGTCAAGACAAAGAGGTCATTGTGGTTCTCTGAATGAGGTGATAGTCAAACGCTGAATTAGGAATACTTTTCAACATGCAAGTCTTAATATTCTCTTCTAGCACCAAAGGAGCAGCTATTTTCTCTATGTGGAGATAAGTTGCTGTTACTTCAGTTGGGCTTTTGTTCCTTATTCTTGTTACAGTTTTAGATATGTATCACATAACTTCGTTCTTGTTTTTTACTAAATCTCTACAACGGTAGTAAGACAAAATCTTTTAGTTTGATATTTAATAATACAAAGTAAAACAGATGTGTATAACAATTTATTTATTTATTTATTTATTGATATCATTGGTTTGCATTGTTTGTGTTTTAGAAGTATAGGATCTCCCCCGTCAGGTGTTGTGACTATACTGCACCCACCACCAAAACAACCATAGTTACCACCATAGTCCATTTGCTCCTTGCTTTGTTCTCTTCTCTCTTCCTCTGGTAGCCTCAGTTCATAGTTTTCTAGGATTAGTTCTTAGTTTGGCTTTATCTCACCACTTGTTTTGTTCCTCTATATTCCACATATAAGTGACACCATTTGGTGTTTGTTTTTCTTCTTCTGACTTATTTTGCTTAGCATTACCTCCTCCAGTTCCATCCATGTTGCTCCAAATGGTAGGAGAGACTTTTTTGATAACCGAGTAGTTTCCATTGTGTATATATACCACATCTTCCTGATCCACTCATTCGTTTATGGGCACTTAGGTTGTTTCCATGGCTTGGCTATTATAAATAGTGCTGCAGTGAATGTGGAAGTACATCTTCGCCTTCAAATTCCATAGGAATTGTACCAGTCTGCATTCCCACCAACAGTGTAAGAGAATTCCTGTTTCTCCATATCCTCACCAACACTTGTTATTTTTGGTTGATTTGATATAGGCCATTCTTACAGGTATGCGATGTATCTCACTGTGGTTTTGATTTGCATTTCTCTGACAGTAAGTGAGGATGAACATTTTTGATGTGCATGTATGTCATCTTTGGAGAAGTCCCTGTTTAGCTCTTCTGCCCTTTTTATGATTGGGTTTTTTGTTTTCTTTTTGATGAGTTGTATGAGTTCTTTGTACATCTTTGATATCAGCCCATTGTTAGATGTATATATACTAATTTTAAATATTAGATTAGCATATGGAGTGTGGACGATGTATTTAATGCACAATTTGCAAAACTCAGACGTGTATTTGTGAGCTTATTTGATATCATGTCATACTCATAAAGCGCGTCTTCTGGTAGCTAGAGATAAAAGTGTTTTTTTTTTTTTAAGATTCATTTATTTATACATAAAAGAGCTGGGGTACAGGCTGGAGGTGCAGGGGGTGAAAGAATTCACCAGAGATAGAGCGGGGAACAGAACAGGAAGATTGACTGAAATACACTGCTGAGGGGAGCAGTGGGCGAGTCAGGAGAGGTCTGCCATACCACGTGTGTATCTCCCTGGCCGAGGATCGAACTCATGCTGCCGTGGCTGCGGCTAGCTTCATAGGTTGCTTCTTCACCCCTTGCGCCACTAGGGAGGCCCTAAAAGTGTCTTCTTAAGTGGTAAGAGTGTGAGTGTTTATTCAGGATGACTAAGAAGATTGTTCTTGTGTTCATAATCTTGCTTACAAATTGATTGGCAAGGCCTTTGTGCATAAAACTGGAAATTGACAGATTGGAACTTTCCTAAAGGTAATTTTTATCAAATTTTAGGTTTTTAAAAATATTATTGAAATAATCTGTGGTAGTAAAATGCCCAAGCACAAAAAGTTTGTGTGGAGGTTGTTTTGTTGTTATTCATCTATATAGTTAATGGGCACAATGAATGTTGAACTAGTAATAAAGTGCTAAATGTAAAAGAGTCATAAAAAAGTATTCAATAAATGTTTTGTTGCTGTATTATTTAAAAGACATGCCTATAAGCCTTGTTTGCTATAGCTTTATTTGCTTTACCTGGACTTCATTTAATGAGCTATAGAAATGAGTTGGCTACTTTACACTCAAAATACATCTCCAGACTTTTCACATTTACTTTAACTGAAGATAAACAAACTTTCCCTGATTCTTTTACACCTTTCAGATCTATACATATTGACCTTAAGTCATAACTACATACTTCTGGCCACAGCATTTTGTATATTTGAATATTGTGGCCACCTTGGAGGTAGGAACCAGATTAAGACAACATAATAGAATACCCTTCTTTTTTCATAGTTCTTATTCTAGATTCATGAAACCAAAAGAAAAATCAGATCATGAAGGAAATGAAGAAAGTAGTGTCTCTGAGGGGTTGGAAGGAATGAGTGCAGAGGTTTTGATTTGTAGCAGTTCTCAATAGTGGATGGTTAAAAAAAAATTATCAGGGCTCTTACTATAAGTAACTTTATTCACCCATCCTCTCTGCAAAAACATTTATAGCATTTTTAAAGAGACTGAGGGTCTCCTCAAGCCTTATTAAAACTGAACTTCATACATGTTTTAAAACTACTTGAGGGTTTCTTTTATGCATCTGAGGTTGAGGACCTCAGTCAAGGATTGTGTTTTGGAATCTTGGTAAAGAAAGTATACTTTAGGGCCTCCCCGGTGGCGCAGTGGTTCAGCGCTGGGTTGCGGAGCTGACCGCGGCCTCTGCGGCGCCGGTTCGATCCCCGGCTGCTCCCGGCCACCGGAGGAGGGTCCCACATGGCGCGCAGAACTCTCCTGCCGCCCGCTGCTCCCCTCAGCAGTGTGCTTCGGTCCTTCTGCCTGCTCTGCTCCCCTCTCTGGCTCTGGTGAATTCTCTCACCCTCCCGCACTTCTGACTGTACCCTGTGCATGTATAAACAAAACAAACAAACAAATAAATAAAACATGCCTCTATAAAAAAAAAATCTAAAAAAAAAAAAGAAAGTATACTTTAAAGCAGTAGCAAGATTATTGGCAATTAAGAAAGTAATTATTAAAATACTTTTGGGGTGCAGTTTTATAAATTTTAAATTGAATTAAAAGCATGGAATGTGGGGCCTCCCTAGTGGCACAGGGGTTGAAGACAGTGCTGTCAAGCTATTGGGAGCCACTGCAGCACAAGTTTGATCCCTGAGTTCGATCCCTGGCCAGCCAGGGAGCTGCCCAAATGGTGTGGCAGACTTCTGTCTCACCTGCTGCTCCCCTCTGCAGTGTATTTCGGTAGATCTGCCTGTTCTGCTCCCCACTCTGTCTCTGGTGAATCCTCTCAAACCTCCCCGCCCAAGCCTCTGGCCTGTACCCCAGTTCTTGTATGCTTAAATAAAATAAATCTTTAAAAAAAAAAAAAAAAGCATGGAATGTACCATGTTGGGGTAATAATATTACAATCCAAAAAAAGTAAGGCATACCTGAAACTTACAGTGTTATAAATTGATCTTACCTCAGTAAAAAAATGTATTTAAAAAAATGAAATATCAAAAAGACTTTAGGCAATAAAAAGAAAGAATAGATGACCCTGAGTATTACTAGATAAGGGGTGGGCGGGGATTTGACATTGTGGTGTAGTTGTTTGAATCCCAGCTCTATAACAGTAAGACCTTTGAGTAATTTAACCTATGTGTGTGCTATGTGTGCTACAGACACAAGTCAACCATACACCCAGAAAATTTGCCTCAGACTGTTTTCTTACTAAGAGTGTTTGAATTTGTGATGGAGGAAATATTCTGTAACCAAGTAATAAAGTCATGTATTACTTGAGAACATTTTGGTCTTGATGGTCTGCCTGCACGTAGGACAGTGGTCCC